CGTTCCGTTCTTGCGTGATGCGGTTCAGTTTTCCTTCCAATATCTGGATATCATCTTCGGTCAGGGCTTCAAACGTGCGTTTCAGTGCGACAAAAGTTTCCCACGGCTTATCAATGAATCAGCAGTGGAGATAAGGTGCGGTTGATAATCCGTTATGCCTCAGCGATTTCCTTGGGTGACTATCGGTTGCCTCTAGATGGGGTTGGATAGGTTAATATTGTTGAGATTCCTTCACAATTCACGGATAGAATTGTCTGGGGTTTCTAAGACCAGGAACTCATTTCTCTGCTAGCAATAATCTCGTGGTGGAGTAAATACGTACCTAACATGGCAGCCATCGCAGTACCAATGTCGGATCTCACCAAGAAGGGCGCAGTATTCACCTGGAAGACACCTCAGCAAGCGGCACTGCAGAAGTTATTGACGTTAATTATGAAGCGCATCAAAATCTACGAGCCGTTACCCCACAAACAGCTAGTGATCATGTCCGATGCATGCAATGTAGGGGTAAGCGCAGCAGTGTTTGTACAAATCCCTCCGCCGGGGACAGCAGAGTGGGATGAAGAACAGAAGTGCATCGCAGCATGCAAACAATACAGGGAGGCACTAGGTCTTATACCCCTCACGCTACACCCGCAAACCCCACGGTTGGTCATCTCAGACCAAGAGCGAGCACTTTATGACACGACAGACAAACCAGAAACTATCTATAATCCCATTGACGACCTACGTACGTTACCAGGGTTTCAAACGGCCACACCTAGGAATGCAGCTTCGGACCTGGACTGGGCACACAGTGTAGACATTTCACATCGGAACACGAATGATCAAACAGTCAAGCTAACACGAGAACAGAGTGGTACACTTGTTCATAGTGTTGAGTTTCAGCATAAGGGACAGAGTGGTCCACTTGCCCAAGACGCAGACCAACAAGGCAAAGAACAGAGTGGTACACTTGTTCGGGGTGGGGTACCACAGGAAGACGAACAGAGTGGTTCACTTGTTCACATGAACCAAGTACAGAGTGGCTCATTTACACATACTTTGGACATGGAGACAGTATCAGCATTTACACATACTTTGGACATGGAGACAGTATCAGCAAACAGCCCTCGAGACCTTAGGATCACGATTGGCAAGTACCGGTTCTTATACCCGGTAGCGTTCTATTCTAGTAAACTCAACCCAGCACAGCGAAACTACGGAGCTACCGATAGAGAAATGGTGGGGTGTACGTTCAGTGCGAGGAAAGCTTTCGTGTTATGTAGACGGTCAGTACGGCCAGTTTTATTAGTCACTGACCATAAACCATTAGTGAACATCCTAGCCAATCCGGAAGGTACTTACAGGAGGAAAGTTCTAAGAATAGTCGCATAATTCGCGCGCTCAACACGATCAATGAAGTAGTGATGGACGTGAGGTATGTACAAGGCCCTCTGACAGTTTTTGGGGACTATTTCTCGAGGTCTACCAACCACACCGACAAACTGTTACAACAGAAGCAACGGGGTCGAGTCGAATTTGGAAAGGCCACGGGTGCAGCAGCCTCCGACACACAGCCAGCATGCGCGTTATCTTTCGCACCACAACAACGGAGGGTAACGTGGGGACATATCAAAGTCAACCAGGAACATAATGGAAGAGAAGCACTTATATACAGCCAATCTCATTTCGAATTCCCGGAAAGCTACTCGTTAAACCTTACCTGGGTGGACCTTATTGATCAGCTGTTTGGGCCGTTTGATGTTGAGCTTTTTGCCAGCCATGAGGACCACGTTATGGACGTGTACTGCACGGCGGATGGTTCGGGCACTTGGGGTACGGACGCTTTTGGCGTTGATTTGCAAACTGTGAGAGCATAAATGAACTCCCCATGGAGGCTATTTTTTCTTCTTCTGTGGTCCTTTGAACACCTCGCCCACACGTATATAGTAGCGGTTGTCCCTTTCTAGCCGTCCGCAGTGTGGTTCCCGTTGCTGATGCGAATAGCACAAGGGTTACCACTCGTCATTCCACATCGAGACGACACGTTTTTGCACAGGGGTAGAACGATTTCGGGGCTACCTCCATGGGAGTACACGTTAGTGGTGATACTCCAAGGTGGATGTCCGAAGCCTCCGCTATTGCCGGACACATTTTGGCACAAAATAGGCCTTCAGAGGGCACCCGCCTTTTTACACTCGCTGGGCTATCCCTTGAAACCTTGTCGGACGATGGGGACAGGAGTCCCCGGCATACCGGCAGGCGCAGGAGTCCCAGTGGCAACCAAAACATGGAAGTGGTTGAGCACCAAGAAGGCACCCACGCCCTTACACTATGCAGGGGACGATCGAACACCGCAACAGTGGAAATTCGGACCAGGTAAGCGGTCGCATTTGGAACATTAGGCAGCGCGTTACAAGAAGGGAGCACGTCCCAGAGCCTGATAACCGTGGATGATGATAGTGAACATAGCGTAGTGGTTGCTGGCGAACGTAGGGTCGCAGTACCATCAACAGGATAAGAGGAAATGCGGGTAGACCAGCTAGGTCTTGATGACTCGGATGAGGATCTGGAATACAGCGAACCGTTTCCGCAGTCATAGATGTATGCGGAGAGGGAGATATCTGCCATGGACTCGGCGCTTCACGACAGGGAGGGACGGAACCAGGCAGGACGGGATGACGTCCCTAATAATTTAGACAGCATGACCGTGTCCACGCGCCAGGTAGACCGTATTTTGGACAAAGCAGTGGGCATGTACGAGATGGAGTTGATTCTTGGCACGCTCCTCAGGCGGAGTTATCGTTTCAGGAAGTCCCAGCGGGGGCAGGGGACAGAGTGGCGGCACTCTCTAATCACAGTCAAAATGAACCGGAGTTAGAAAAGGAGGACGTGGAGACTCGACAGTGAACCTCCCCGCGGGCACCGTTGCCTGACGTCTGGTACTCGATATCGGAGGATATTACCACTGATGCCCCCATCCACAACCGACGAATGCTTAGGAAGACGCCCCTACGTATTTTGCCCAAAACGGAACAGGAGGGTTTACGGCGATTGGAGAAACTCAAGCTCACGGCTATGGACAGGGCTGTGCCGCCGAAGACTACGTTAGCGGCCTTATGAATATGGCACCTAGGGCACTCCCACATCTTAGCGAATCGGCACCGAGCCATCGCACAGGACAAATGCAGTTGGAATATTCCAACAGAGGTGATTAAACCGGTCACTGACAGTTGCTTCGATTGCATTAGGGTGGGGCTGCCCACAGGTCCAGTACGCGGATTGCTGCAACAACCCAGCAGGCCGACCGCTATATGTGAGGAAATTAATATGGATTACCTCGAACTCGATGAAGATGAGGAGGGGTATAAATACCTCCTTGCGGCGCAGGACGGCTGTACACTGCAAGCATTAGAAGTGGCCCTACGGGAGAACGAGCACACGGCATCCGATGTTATCAAATTCTGTCAGACACAGTTGGAACCCAAGGGTCACATCACGGAGTATGTGATGGACCAGGACAGTGCATTCATCAGCGATGGATTCACGACCTACGTAGCCAGCAGAGGGGCGAAAGTGAGGTTTGTATCGAAAGGAGCGCATGGAGGAAATGGCAGGATCGAAGTGTTCCTGCGCACAGTACAAATGGGGTTGAAGCGCTCTTAAGGGGTGGGTTTGATGCTTGAGTGGCGGTGACCACATTAAGGATCATTGAGACGTCTCCATACGAGTTAGAAACGGGCACCGTGTATCGGCACGTGACAGATTTCGCGATAGAATCGTTATTGGACGATGCTCTTGGTTTCGCAGCATCAACAGTAAAGCTTGCTGGGGTGCCGATCAAACGGTTCACAAAAGCACAAGAGTGTAGGGACGTGCACAACATTCACAGAAACAGTCCGCAGATCTGGCTCGTCTCGATACACCAATGTTACAAATCGGCAGGAAGTGCATGTATGCACCCATGCAGACGACGCCACACTAGTTATCTAAGGATTGGCATGGACCTACTGAGATCTTGGCACATAAACCCCTGTGATACACTACATTCGGGATATTGCCACGAACATAGAATATCGGGTACATCTGAAGAATCTCAAAGTACATACCACCAATAGGTAGAGCGGAAGCTCGGCCGCATGGTGCGTTTACCCGATCAGCTTACGGGTTATGGCAATAAGGCTCAACAACAAGAAATCGTGGCGGCGATCAGCACTATGCCAGCGGCTATCCAATTCATGTACAGAGGGAATTGTAGTTTCCGGTTTTGGAAGAAATTAGCTAAACAATATGGACACCCCCGTCGGACAGATTCACGAGGGAGGATGAGGTGTTTTTCAACGAGCATGCGCACGAGATCAAAAAGGCGCGCCAGAAGTTAGCAGCGATTAAACTGGCATACCGGTTTGCGGAGTCAAGCGCCCTGCAGCAGGACAAGTTGCGCGAATGGAGGCGGAAGCGAGAAGCTACGCAGTTGTTCACCTCTGCAGTAGACGCTTGAAGGGGACTAGCCACCCGGCACTTCTTGAGATTTCAAAAGTGGCACCTGTCAGATTTTGAAATCTGAGGGGGTTGTATTTCCGGGGCTAGCCGGGCAGTTGGAATCCTGCACCTAGCAGGACAGGACAGGGCTGGAGTAAGGGTTCGTAATTAGTAAGCACCAATCAGATCTTAGGTCCACGAGTAATCCTTTAATTAGGACTAGCCGCCCTACTTAATGGTTCACTATACAGCAGGTGTCACACATGCTGCATACTTGAGGAAAAGGCAACCCTGAGAAGAGTTCAGAGTTACACTAGGTTATCGATGATACGTCATTGCTATTATCTAGTTTTGTTAAATGAAGGAACCAGTGTAATCATATAACCTCGAACTACAAAACAAGTAGAAACTTTCTACCGCCGGATTGTTAATTTGCAGGCAAGGTTTCTGTCTGCGGTACTATAGTATGTCCCGTAATTGGTACATGTATGTTCAAAACATCACGGGCGCGTTCGAAATGCAGTAAAGACCCTTTGTGAGATTATGTGCGACACTCAGTTTACGCTATGTATGTTGATGAAGAAAGCGTTTGGCCCTCGAACAATTTCGCAAACAAGATTTCTTTTTGCGGACCAGCTCATAATAACCCAGAGGGCCTTTCCAATTACATATAAGCATTCGTGATTCCAACAATTAGTGAACCCAAAAAAATACTCTAAATCTAATGGCGCGAGACTGGTTCTAAAATGACTGGCAAACTGGCGAAGAGTTTCATAAATATACCGCAGAGGCGCTAGCCAAGGGTGGCAACGCTGTTGCGGCTTTCTTTTATGGCAGCATTGTGGACCGGAAAGTGCTTTGGGTGATTGTGTTAAAGAAATACGAATTCCGAGCCACCTGTTGGAAGACAAGCGATACCGCAGCAGCGACTACCGATATACTTTCAGGTTTAATGGCTTAGACGTCACGGTTTGTCCTGCCTGGTTTATATTGCCAGGTGCATTAAAAACAATTTGTAAGAAAGGAGAACGCCTTAAATACCCTGAGCTCCGATTTTTTACAGGGAACATATGTACTACACGCAGGGTTCTCCGATATAGCATTGACGACGAAGTTGTATATCATCTATACGAATATTTTTTTTTTTGCGCCGGCGCATATTGACGGTGTAACAGTGCGACCAAGAAATCTCGAACGTCAGCAGGTTGGTTCGACCCTAAAGTTTGTATCAACCGAAATACGCGAGTTCAAAAAACAGCATTTAATCTTTGGGTGCATTGCTCGTGAGTGTCCTTTTCTACAGGTTTTATTTGATATTATTTATAACGACAAAAAGTTCCATATATCATAGCAACGTCTAAAATGAAAATGGTCTGCCGATTGATTTTGGCGAGTGTACTGAAAAGGTGTTATGTATTCATAACGAGACTGAATCTAGCTTTACTTTGACGTATAAATATTTGTATATGTACGTGTGGGAGTGAAGGCTTTTCGACTAACTCTTTGTATCACGACGTGTTGTAATTTTAAACCACGACTTAGAAGCGATCAAATGTTTAAGTAACCTAAACCACGACATAGAAGCGATCAAATGTTTAAGTAACCTATTGTATATTATATACATATGAATATGATAGTGTAGAAAGGATCGTCAAATAAATCCGGATGAAAACTGATACCATCCCCAACTCAATGTTGTCGACTAAGCAGTATAGCTTTCAACTTAAGATATAGTGAAGGGTTTGAAATATCACATTGTGTGATTTGTAAATAACGAATCATCGTCTGGTATACTAACACTCGAGTACATAAGATTGCTTTATAAGCGAGAATGTGGCATGTTTACGAGACTTGTGTGAGCTAATCCTATAGGCTTCCTACGTGGTGTAAAACAGTCATTTCGTTCTATGTTTAAAGTTATTGTGATTTATTTATAAACAGCTTATTGTGTCGATTGTAGACAAAAACATTTTCCTATCATGAGCCAGCCGTAACCAAATCGTGGACAATGAATGTTGTTCTTATTGTACCTACTAATAGCTATGTTTTGGCTTTTCGAGATGTGGTTGGTGGCGAATCTGAGCAAGACACTCGAGATCGTCTTCTATATTAGCTTGTAATGTGAGTGGAAAAATATACCGTTTCCTCAACGCAATTCTAGGGTTTAGGGTTTAGGGCACAATAGAGATGTCGATCATGAGTTACGGAAGTGGTCGATTGTAGTCCCTACTAGCATGTTGCAAAATAGCCTGTGAATATGATCCCAAAACAAGGATAACTTTTTTTATATGTTCTGAGAAATCTTGCCCCGAGATTTTGTTGATCAATGTCACCGAATAGCTACGACTCAGAGCAGATGTGGTTGCTATGGACGTGTCGAATGTCTTTGCCGCATACAGCCTTACAAGTGACAAAAACACAAGCATAATTTTGTCGTAGGATGTATACGATAGTATTTGGTTGAGTATGCCAATCAACAAGAATCACAGTTGTCAGTTCGGGAAATACACAAGCGTTCTAAGTTTCTGAAAAACTTGGTATGACTGTTGTTTTCAAGTTTGTTAGAAGTTCATAGAAGAACCGCCAAGATGATATGATTATGCCTGATCACAAGTATACGGAATCGAGTAGATTAGTTCAGTGTATATAGTCTGCTTTTGAAATGTTTCTTATCGCAAATGTGCAAGGATTAACTTAAGTCAAATCAGGATGGGGTCTATTCGAAATTGCAGCAACAACTTTAGTATGCCAGCATACAAGAACATAGCTACAGCGAGTGTTGTCAACCTTACGCTCAAATTGGTTAATTCAAGTCTATCAGCATATTTACATACGTAACGATGAATCATCCACAATCGTCGGAGCGAGCCAGCTGAGAAGTACTCAAAGCAGTCTAGATTGTCTTAAGCTACAATAAGCGTTTGAATCTAATTTCGTCGCATCACAATCTGTATAAATTCCATCTATAATTCGAGAGTGTGTGTATGCGAGGTCGTCAATATTTGCTCAGTAGCTACATTTTGCCTTTGAGCTATTCGTAATTAGCGTTGAGCTTTGATTATCATTTACGAACAACATCATAGCTCATCTAGTAATGGGCCGTTGGTTGTCAACAGTGGCACGCAACGATACCACCGTGTACCGAAATTCAATCCCTACGAATGCGCCAGCTTGAACGGCGAGAAACACAATCTCCCACCGACCCCAGCTCGATTGCGATGCCAGAACGAACAACCTGACTAAAGTCGATACTAGATTTATGAACCATACTTTTATTTATCTTGGTTAAAGTGTGTTTGGCCCGATAGTTCAGATGGATCGTGGGCCGCGAGGACGGAGGTCTTTTTTTGCATTGCACAGCACTTATTATGGTCCGCAATGCGCACGATGACCCGGAAGTATGCTTCGACTCGCTTCTAACATGTTTGAGAAAGTAACAAGGTTTGTTCCTACCAGTTATACACATGGGCAAAATGTACATTTTGATGAATACATCACCAGACTACGATAAGAATGAAGAGTACTACTTAATTATCTGCATCATAACAAAGCACTCCTTATAATCGTAGAAAACAGGGATACATTATGCGCCTTTTTGACCAGTTCCACATACTTCAAAGAAAAGAAATCCACATGGCTATCACCACTATTCCGCATTAACTATAGGTGCGTCGGTAGTAACACGAAAAATTTAGAGACAAAAATGTATTGTGTTCGTACATAGAAGTACATTCG